GGGCCCGTGCTGGCCCCGGGGGCTCCTCCCGCGCCGAGCGGGGCCCGCGGCCGCCGGGAGGGGCCGGTGCCGCGGCTTCCCCGCCGCCAAGCGCCAGGGAACGTCCGCCGGCTACTCCAGCGACTCGGACTCCAGCCTGGACCTCGCCGCGTCCAGCCCCGCCAGCTCCAGCGACTCCTCGGAGGAGGAGGAGGAGGAAGAGGAGGAGGAGGAGGAAGGGGACAGCTCGTGCAGCAGCGAGGAGGGCAGCTCCTCGGAGTCGGAGAGCAGCTCGCTGTGCAGCGGGGACTCGGTGCAGAGCACGCGGTACCGGCAGGCGGCCCTGCCCCGCTTCCAGCCCCCCCGGGAGCCGCTCGGGGAGGAGCGGCCGGCGGAGCCCCCCCCGGGCAAGGCGCTGCGCCCCGACCCCGAGCTCCTCTTCCTCTCGCAGCAGCTCTGGGCCCGCACCCTGCGAGCCTCAACTTTGGAAAGTTTGAGCGCGGCCGCAGCGCCGGGGGCTCAGCCGGGGCTGTACGCGAGGCACGAGGCCTCCCCTGCCTCCTCCTCCTCCTCCTCCTCCTCCTCGCCCCCTCCCTCCCCGAGCAGCAGCACCCCCGGGGGGGCCCCGCCACAAAAGGAGCGCGGCTTTGGGGACGCCGGAGGGGAGGATTCGCACAAAGATGCCTCGAACAAAAGCCCCTCGTTCGAGCGGCCCAGCGGAGCCTCCCCGGGGCCGCCGCCTTGCCCCGAACCGGCCCCGGAGCCGCGGGCGAGCCCCGCTGCCCCGGGCGAACCGCGGCCGGAGCATTTCGACCGCTTGATCCGCCAGTCCAAGCTGTGGTGCTACGCCAAGGGGTTCAACGTGGACGGCAAAGGTTTGCGGCACGGCCGGGGCAGCCCGGAGCCCTGGAGGGGAGCGGAGCCGCCGGTCCAGCCCCGCGGGGGCACCGAGAGCCCCGCGGCGCTGCGGGCTCGCCGGGACGGCAGCGCCAAGCGGCGGCGCCTGGCCAGGGTCAGCGACAGGCAGCGCGGCCCCTCCAAAGCCAGGCCGCCGAAAACCCCCCGCAGGAATCCCAGGAAGGGAAGCGCTCCCTGCAAAGCCGGCCCGCCTCGGAATTCCTTCAGCCTGATGGGCAACTTCCCCTGCACGCCCTCGCTGGTGGTGGGCGAGGACGGGGATCTGTGCCCGGCCTCGTCGCTGGGCAGCAAGAACTCGTGGGCGCTGTCCAAGACGCACCCGCTGTGGCGGTGGCACCTGGGGGGCAGCGCCATCCCCGTGCCCCCCAGCCTCAAATTCCGCGGCTGCGCCGGCCTGGAGCATCCCTGAGGAGCGCAGGAAAAATTCCAGGAGCGCGGGAGGTGCCGGGGACGGGAGCGGGGTCAGCGCGGCCCCGCTGGGGAAGGGGCTGCCCGGAGGAGCCGCGGGGCTTTTGGGGCCGATTTGGGGTTGATTTGGGGCTGATTTTGGCCCGATTTGGGTCTGATTTGGGGCCTATTTGGAGCTGATATGGGGGGTCCGATGTGGGGCTGATTTTGGCCTGATTTGGGGCCCATTTGGGGCCGATTTGGGGCTGATTGGGGCCGATTTGGGGCCGCGTGCGCTGCGGGATGTTGTCTTTGGGAGGAGTTTTAGGGTGAGGTTAAAGCGCGCGATGGAACTCAAATAATTCCCCAAAAACTCCGCGCGCCGAGGGGGTGATTCCCAGGAAAGGGAATTAGGGATGAAACCGCTGCTGGGAGAACTGGGAATGAACTGGGAAAACTGGGAACGAGCTGGGAAGGAGCTCCCTGACCTCCTGACCCTACTCCAAAAAAACCCACCAAAAACCAATACCCCAAAAAACCAACAAAAACTCAAACACCAGACCTCATTTCTCCTTTTTCCTCCATAAAAATTGGATTAAAACAATGAAATTCCCACGCAGCCAAGAGAAAATTCCCCTTCCTTTCCGGGCCGAGTGGATCCCGGGGAAAATTTGGAAAATCCGGAAAATCCCGGTTTTCCAGCGGGGTTTTCCTGATGTAGGGGCAGGCAGGAAACGCCAACTTTAAAAAAAATCGGGAATTTCGGGAATTTGGGAGAAATCGGGAGGGGTGGAGAGGAAGCGATTGAAGTTGCTCCATGGAAATCTAAAGAATATTTTTTAAAAGTGGTGGAAAACGGGGAAAAAAAAAGAGGAATTTGTGGGTAATCATCCCTGGAAAATGTTTGGATCCCGGGAAAAAAATGCGGGAAAATCGGGAATGGAAGGATTTAATCCCGGCTGGAATTTCCCTCCCTCCCCCGCTTGAACCTTTCCAAACCTTTGGAAATTCCGATGGGATTTCCAGCCCATCAAAGCCACCAAATCTCTGCTTTGCGAACTTTAAAAAAAAAAATCCAAGCTATTTTGGCGATTTTTGGTGGTTTTTTTTTTGGTTTTTTTTTTTGTTTTTGTTTGTTTGTTTGTTTGTTTTTTTGCTTGGGCTCTTTTTTCTTCTTCTTCTTTTCTTTTTTTTCAGGAGAAAAAAATTCCCAGTCCTCCCAGGGATTCTGCTTGGAAAATTCTTATTTTTTCCTGCAAAATTTAGGCCTGAAAGCAAAAATAATAAATAAATTAAAAAAAAAAAATTCAAAATTAAAAATCGCTGCGAGGGAAAAGGGAAGGATTGGACAGAAAATCTTCACACGCGGCCTGCTGGATTTATTCCAATTTTTAATTCCATTTTTTAATTACATCAGCACCTTAAAAAATAAGGAAATAAGGGGAAAGGGCCGGGGAAAGGCATTTTAAAGGCCTGGAATATTTGGGATCTGCTGGGCGCCGTTTTCTCTGGAAGTGGCGAATTGGCGCTAAAAGCGCTGTTTGTTTAACTTGGGTTTTAGCGGGTTTTTTGGGGGTTAAATCACTTCTATTTTTTGTTTATTTCTCCCCCTCCCGCTGAGCAGAGCAGCGGGAAATTCCTTCGGCAAAATATTGGGATTTTCGAGGAGTTATTCCCAAAAAAAATCCCCCCAAACAACCCCAAAATGCGGCGAGAAAAGCGGATTTTAGGGGAGGTTTTCCATGGAATTCCCATGGAATTCCGGGTGGGGTGAAAAATGTATTTTCTATTTTAAAAAATGGAATTTTAAATAATTTGCGTGTGGGGTTGGACAAAAAAAATCCCGGGATGCACGCTGGGAATGAATATTTATATTTATATTTATAATCCTATATAAAATCATAGCTATATATATATTAAAATCATATGAATATATCAAAAATCCTATATGAGTATAAATAGAAATATATAAATATAAATATTTAAATCCAGCAACCTCCAGACCCCGCAGCCCCCCCCCAAAAAACTCAGGAATATTTTTCCAAGGGATAAAATCACCTCGGGAATTGTGGGGGGAGTGGCCCAGATTTTTATCCCAGTGTAAATACAGCTAAAAATTCGCTTTTTCTATTAAAAATTCACATTTTGGGCAGAGATTTTGTTAATTTCTCTGCTCGTGCATGGGGTTGGGATGTAAATAATTGTGAATATTTGTAAATATTAGTAAATATTCTGTAAATCTCAATAAATTCTCTGTAAATGTTCTGTAAATATTTGGGGGTTTGGGGAAAAAAATTCAAAATACCTCCAAATTTTCATTAAAAAGGCGCCTGGAGCGGCAGAACTGCCAAAAAATATCATTAAAATAAGAATTATCATCCTGATGTTAATTATGGTAATTCTTGCTTCGATTTTGAGGTGTTTGAGGGAATTTAAGCTACCAAAGAATAAAAAAAAATAAACTTTAAGTAAGAAATAGAGTGAGGGGGGTGGAGCTGCAGTGGAAATAAAGGGAATAAAAGAAATATAAATTAAAAAATAAAAGAAAATGTACATTTTGTGCTGGATTCGCTTGGTTTGGGATGAAAATCAGCAAATCTGGGGTGTTTGGGGGTAAAATTTGACTTCCAGGAGAGCCAAAGGGAGCAAAATTCCCTTTAAGGGGGTGAAAGGAGCAAAAAATTGGGGGTTTTGGTCATAAAATCCACTCTTGTGTTCTTTTTTGGTTGGGGTCAGAGGAAAGCAAAACAAAAATGGGAAAAGTAATGGAAAATCCCAAATTTCCTCCTCTGGATTAAAAATTCCCATTTCTTTGAGTTAAAAATTCCCATTGCTGTGGATTAAAAATTCCTATCCTTTTAAAATTAAAATTTCCCCTTTTTTGAGGGAATTCCCAGCTCCAGCCCGGGATGCATGGAGGGATCGGGATGCGCTGGGACATGGGAACCTGGGATGAGCTGGGGAACGATGATCCCAAAAGAAACTGGGCAATGATGATCCTGGTGGGATGAGCTGCAGCATCCCATTGGGATGAGCTGGAGAATGGGAATCCTGGATGGTCTGCAGGACAGGGATCCCACCGGGATGTGCTGTAGGATCCCATTGGAATGAGCTCCAGGATGGGGATCCCACTGGGATGAGCTGTAGGATCGGGATCCCGCTGTGATGAGCTGCAGGATGATGATCCCATTGGGATGAGCTGGAGAATGGGAATCCTGGATGGTCTGCAGGACAGGGATCCCACTGGGATGAGCTGTAGGATGGGAATCCCACTGGGATGAGCTGCCCTTGGAATGAGCTGCAGGATGGGAATCCCACTGGGATGAGCTGCAGGATGATGATCCCACTGGGATGAGCTGTAGGATGGGGATCCCACTGGGATGAGCTGTAGGATCCCATTGGAATGAGCTCCGGGATGGGAATCCCACTGGGATGAGCTGCAGGATGATGATCCCATTGGGATGAGCTGTAGGATCGGGATCCCGCTGGGATGAGCTGCAGGATGATGATCCCACTGGGCTGAGCTGCAGGATGATGATCCCATTGGGATGAGCTGTAGGATCAGCTCGGTCTCCTGGGGTTATTCCCAATTCCGGGAGGTTCCTCCCTTCCCCTGCTGCCCCGGGGCCAGCGGGCTGTGGGGACCCGCAGGGACACACAGGGACACACGAGCTGCTGGCGCCCTCAGGCCTCTCTCCCACCGCGATTTTGGGGGAAAAAAGGGCATTTTTAGGCTTCTCCCAGCAGAGGTCCCCGGCTGCCTGGGAGCGAGCCCAGATCCCGGGGGGATCCACCTGCCCATGGGGCTGGAACAGAATTCCCAGGGGGTTTCTTCTCCTAATTCCTGATAAATGAGAGTTTATCCTATAAATTTATTCCCGATAAAAAGAGGAACGTGGCCCGGAAACCTCTCCTGGGTTTTGTTCTGGGTTCAAGGCAAGGGGAGTTTTCTGGGATATCCCAAAGGTGTTGTGACGTAGATTTTGATATCTGCAGGTGCAATCCCAAACAGAATTATTCCCAATATTTCAGGATCCCTTCACTGGGTTCCTGCAGGTGCAATCCCAAACAGAAATATTCCCAATATTTCAGGATCACTTCTCTTCACTCATTCCCTGCAGGTGTAATCCCACCAATAAAAATTCCCAGTATTTCAGGATAATTTGTCTCTACTCCTTTCCTGCAGGTGCAACCCCACGAATAAACATTCCCTGTCCCGGGACTGAGGGATTTGCCGCTTCACATCCTTTATTTGGGAAGGAAATGAAAGAAGTAAATAGATTTATTTTAAAATTTGGTGAAGACACCTGAGGTGACTGAAGTGACGGAACACCCGCGGGGGGAAACGCACCCACCCTGCCACCACAACTCATCAGCAGAAAAGGAGAAAACGCCCCAAAAAACCCCAAATCCATCCCGGCAGAGCGGACCCTTGACAAATCCCTTGAAGCCGAGCCTTGGTGCTGCAAATCTCGGTTTCAGTTTCAGGTCCCATCGCTATTTTGGTGTCGCCGCTGTCACCGAGGCAGGGCGGAGCAGAGGAAGGGGAGAGTGGGGAGGGTTTGTCTAAATTAGGAAATCACCCCAAAAATCTGCAGAGCAGAGCCACAACTGCTCCACACCCTGCTCGGGACCGATGGCTTTAATTTATCCACTAATTAAATTAATGTCAGGCTTAATTAGAGCTGGTTTCAGCACCCCTGGGGAATCCTCAAACCCATCCCAAACCCCTTCACACCCCAATTTTGGGTGGTTTCATCAAAATTTCCCATTCCTGCGGCTCTCAAAGCCCCAAAAAATATTTCAATGTCAGGATGGATGTGACTCAGGGCTGAGCTGGTTGGTGTCACTCATTAATTACTCATTAATTAGTTCTGATCCATGCCAGAGCAGTGCCAATGACTTTGTCCACATAATTTTGGGGGGAAACCTCAAAGATGTCAGAATTTGGCCACTTTTTGTCTGCCAAGGGCCTAGTTGTGATTAATTAATTAATTAATTAGTCACTCAGCAGTGATTAATTCCCAAACCAAAGGATCCTGGAATGGTTTGGGTGGGAGGGGACCTGAAACCCTCTCCAGTGCCATCCCCACCATGGCAGGGCCACCTCCCCTGTCCCAAGGTGGCCCAAACCCCGTCCAGCCTGGCCTGGGGCACTTCCAGGGGCGGAGCAGCCACGGCTGCTCTGGGAATTCCATCCCAGCCAGGAATTCCTGCCCAGAATCCCACCCAGCCCTGCCCTGTGGCAGTGGCAGCCATTCCCTGGGTGCTGTCCCTCCATCCTTGTCCTCAGGCCGTCTCCGATCTCCTGGAGCTCCTTGAGGCCCTGGAAAGGCTCTGGGGTGTCCCTGGAGCTTCTCCTTGCCAGGCTGGAGAAGCCCAAATCTCCAGCCCTGAGAGAGGAGGGATGGAATCCATGGATGGATGCATGGATGATGGATGGATGGATGGATGGATGATGGATGGATGGATGGATGGATGATGGATGGATGGATGGATGGATGATGGATGGAGGAAGGCAGGGATGGATGGAGGGACGGGTGAGGTTCCAGATGTGCCCCCGGGAGGTTCCCCCGTGTCCCCCCACTGCCCGGGGCCACTCCCCCTCTCCCCTCTCTGCACTCCCCCTCTCCCCTCTCCCGTCCCTCCCTCTCCCCTCTCTCCCCGCTCCCCCCCCATTTCCTGCGCCCCCGCAGCCCCGGATGCGGCTCCGGGCCCGAGGGGCCGCGGGCGCTTCCTGCCCGCACTGCGGGGCTCACCCCAGCCCGGCCCGGCCCCCGCGCACCGGGCACCGGGCATGAGGCATTGGGCACTGCGTACCGGGCTCTGGGCACTGGGATTTGTTTTAATTTAAGTGGAATTTAACGGAATTTATTGGAATTCAAATGGAATTTATTGGCATTTAAATGGCATTAAATGCGAATTTAATCCTTTCAAAGTTCAAGTCCAAGGATCTCCATGGGCAAGGGATGGGAGGAGATCCCGAATTTGATCCCAGGACAATCCCAAATCTCCAGGACACAAAGGCTAGAATTCCTAAAACACAAAAGATAAAAGGAAAAGGGGGAAAAGGAGGGAAAAAAGGGAGAAAATCTTTGGAAACAAGGGAGTTCAGGTTGAGTGAATTCCCGCCCCTGCAGGGATTTTCAGGGATTGGGATAAAGGGAAAATTGTGGATGCAATACTTGAGGGGAGCTCAAAAAGGGTAAAAAAAAAGGAATTTTGGGGTTTGGGTTGAAAGAAACCTCAGGATGGGCCAGGCTGAGATTCCAGAGGTTTTTGAGATGAGAAAAACTGAGGAAAAGGAGAATTCTGATGTTGGGATTGGAGTAATTTAAGTGGGAAACGGTAAAATTATGGAATATTCAGAGTAGGAAGGATGACCAGAGTGGTGGGAAAATCCCCCAAATCCTCAGGAATTGTGGCTGATTTGGGATTGGAGTGTTTGGGGTGGAATGCTGTGCCTGGGAATCCATCCCAAAACTCTCCAGGAGTGCAAGGGGTGGGGGGGACAAAAGAGCCCCCAAAAAATAAATATTCAAAATATTTAGGATCTTTTCACTCATTCCCTGCAGGTGCAATCCCATAAATAAATATTCCAAATATTTCAGGATAATTTCTCTCTTCTTCTTTCCCGCAGGTGCAACCCCATGAATAAATATTCCAATAAATATTTCAGGATCACTTTACTGGTTTCCTGCAGGCATAATCCCATAAATAAATATTCCTTGTATTTCAGAATCCTTCCTCTTCACTCATTCCCTGCTCACGCAATCCCATAAATAAATATTCCCGATATTCCAGGACCATTTCCCTGCTTTCCCGCTATACACTCCTCCTGCCGCGCACAAACCCCCAAGGGGGGAAGGAACATTTTTCCCCCTTCCCAAGGTGCCAAGGGGTTTTGCAGAGGAGTCTGCAAAAAATCCCTTTTGCAGAGGAGTCTCGGGCCAGGACAGCCGGTGGCGCTGGCGGAGCCGGGATCCGGGAATTTCGGGATAATGGGATTTACGGAGCGCTGCCGGCTCATCCCCGCGGAGCGCTCCATCGGGAACGCACCCACAGCGCGATCCCAGCCGGGCGCAGGAGTGGAGGGGGAAAAAAACCCCAAAATCCTCATTCCAAAGCGTTGGGGAATGATTAAAAAAAAAAAAAAAAAAAAATCCAAAATATCACCCGCGCTCAAACCCGCCCGCCCGGCCGCGCCGAGATCCGTGAACCGCAAATTTTACCGGAGCGTGCGGGCGGCGCCGCCATGAATGTACCGGGGAGAGGGGGGGGGACACGGGGACAAACTGGGACTGGCACCGGGCCATGGTGGTGACAGGGACGGGGCTCGGGGACTGCGGGTCACGGGCTCGGTGTCCCCAGCACGGGGAGAGCAGGGGGA